ATTTTGATAATACTTTATTCCTGTCTGGTTATATGGAATTTTTTACATTCATGTATGTTTTCTCTATAATTTCATTGTGATTTCTACATGTCTACATGTTCTATCCTTAAATTCTATAGGTGCTTATTAATGAAGTGGAAATGTAGAAATCTTTATTGGTTTCTTATAAAACCTCAATACTCTTCCTGGAAATTTCCCCTTAGCCAAACAGTTCTTCAGGATGACAGAGCTATATATAAGGGTGTCTTCCAGGATTCAGCAATAAGGGTGAAGTTCAAGGCCAAGAACAGGACTTGTTCGCACTGTGCTCAAATGTCTTCCAGCAGAGATCCGGGTGGTGTGTGGCAGAGGAGCGGCCCCGGCAGCTGGTCACGGGGCAGCCGTCCTCTTGTGGTGAGGGTGCCTCAGCACTGCCACCGCTCTCAGGGGCCTGAGGAGCTCCTTCCTCTTGTTTTATTAACTATACATAAACTTGATGCCTTTTTTTCTCTTTATTTTCCTTTTCTAAGGAATCTATAGGGGAAACTCAGCAATGATGAGTTTCAGCTTGACTTATGACAAGTTTGACTTAGTCACAAGTGAACATCAGTGGCTCTGGCAAGAGGACGGTGAACACCCACTTGCCATTTCCCATGACACTAGAACATGAGCAGGAGCCGATGATGAGAAAATACCCCTTCATAGGACAACCGATAGGTGGCAACGAACGGCAACTGTGAAAGCTCTAAGTTGTTAGCGTTCGTCAAGTATGTGTAACGCCTTTTAAAGAGTGTAAACTTCATGCTGTCCAAGTTAGAAATGGACAGAGACGACACTCAAACTCCCATCTATTCACACTGAGCTGTGAGAAAGTCGACATTGGCCCTAAATTCAGCTGCTGCATCTCTTGAGGCTGCTCTGTGGTTTGAGAAAGCTCATGGCCTCTCTAGCAGGTCTGACTTCTGCCAGGCTGGCGCAGATGATGGAGATCTGATCACCTGGACACATGTCTCAGAAAAACAGGAATATTCTCAGCTGTACCAGTTTACTAATGATTTCTGATACAAGGAACCTTCTTATTTTTACCCTACAAGGAACAAATTATTCCTTCTGAAGTTATCACAGATATGTAGGCCCTTTCTCTTGAACAACACAGGATATAAGAACAAGACACAAAGTTAAATTTGGTTAAAAGGCATTTAAACTATTACTCACTTTATCATTTCAAACTTTTGGTACATTCAAATATAGGACAAATTAGAGAAAAACCTAGGTCCACTAAATAAAATTGCAATACCTTTTCTGTTCCTTCTCCTCTTGACCATCTAGAATCTATTATTTGACACAGCCTAAGCGACCCTTTAGAAACAGACCCCATCCATCTACTCGCAGTCATTCTTGGCTCACATTAAAGTCTTAGCTCACATAGGACTGAGTAGACCAACTCTGGCTCCCTTCAACAGCACTTCCTACCTGTGTCCTTGTAGTCGTTTACTTAGAATAACAAGTATTCACTCATTTGTGTCCTGGAACACGCCAAGCAAGCTTCCCCCTGAAGATGGTGTGTGATACTCCCTCGGCTTAGAACGCCCTCTCCCAGAGGGCTCCTTCACTCACACAGTCCGAGACACCTACCTCAGAACCAGGACAGGAAGGAAAAATGGAGCAGCTGTCAGAGGTGTGGTCAGGGTCAAGAGGAGGAGGAGAGCTGTTAAAGTACTTAAAACAGGTGAAGCTTATACCATCCCTGGGCCGGAGGGGCAGGGGAGGGAGAGGGAGACGGTAATTGCAGCCCAGTGAGAGCCAAAGCAGTGGGGGAGGGTCCTCAGCATAAGCCACTGGCACAGGAAGTGGGAGACAGTGTAAAAGAAATCCCTGCCCTGACCTTTCTCTCCTCCCTCAAATCCGCGATTGCCAAACCTTGCCAGGAGCCAGCAGTGGAGAGACACAGGCAAGGCTGTCTCAGACGTGAGCCTCCCGGCCCAGAGCAGGGAAGGGCAGAGATTGGATCTGGTCAAGATGAGGACTCTACTAAGAAGGTCACCTCCCAAGACAGCTCTGCACTGAGCCTTCTCTCTGGAGCAGTACTGCCCACACGTGTCACCCCTTCACCCAACGTCATCCCAGCACCTGTCGCTCCCTAGCATCCTGCGTTGTTTCTGTATTTGCTGCCCCACTAGAATATAATAAGCTCTACAGGGACTAGCATTTCCTCACTTGTATTCACTGCTGTATCTTTATAGTTTAAACAGCTCCTGCTGTACACGTAGTAAGGTGAAAATTTGAGTGAATGAATTTAATACTCCCTTTACTATTCAAGGGTATTCCTGTTTAATAATAATAATAAAAAAGAATAAAACTCTGAAATATAGTAGAAACTCCATAGTTGACCTCCCACCATTGGCCCCCTCAAGTTGACCTAGTTTTCATAAGGGATGTGCACCACGTGTACACAGCAGTGCAGCAGGCCCCGCTCCTCATGCTGACTCCTCCACATGTGACCACTTTGTTATAGTACCTTGGGAGGTCAACTTACAGAGGGTCTACTGTATAGGTGAATTATCCATATACTTCTCTATCTTTGAGCCCTTTTTGTGTTCTGAAATACCTTTGTCATATTGCCCTGTAGACCACTACAACTAAGTTCAAATTAGTCTTTTATAATAAACATAAGCACACATATATTTCGTAAAGCTTTCTTTCAGACATTAAGATATAGGACAGAATCACAAAACTGGAGGAAATATTAAAACTATGGAGCCCGACCCTGTGCTCCACACACGGGCATTCTCTGCAGTAGCTCCAAGAAGAAGTGTAGTGCCTTCTCAGAGGGGATACGCTCAAAGTCATCATCTGCTTAAACACCATGACTGAAATGCACACGCCATCCACGAGACTAGTTTACTAATGTTGACAGATGACATATTTGTCAAAACAGGGGCAATAGCTAATAAACATTGATCAATTATCCTCCAGGATCCTACTTACGTATTTATCCAGCGGTTCTCAACCTGTGGGTCATGACCCCTTTGTAACAATGAAAACACATCCTGCATATCAGATATTTATTTACATCACGATTCCTAACAGTGGCAAAATTACAGTTATGAAGTAGCAATGAAAATAATTTTAGGTTGGGCGTCGCCACAACATGAGGAACTATATTAAAGGGTCACGGCATTAGGAAAGTTGAGAACCACTGTTTTTATCTTTCTGATCACCACAGTGATAGGTAATCATTTCAAAAGCTGGTGACTAAGGGGTGGTGCCTGTGGCTCA